TGCTGGAAGAAGTGTGGGCAAGTACAGTCTTGCTGTTCTCATGCCTCTGATATCATCATTCCCTTTCTGTACTGCTGACAGGAGCAAACCTGCAAGAGTAAATCCATTTTTATTTCTGTCTATGGCTGGTTAAAGACAGCATTCTTGCTTATTTATAACCAGTAACCTGTAACTCACCAGACATCTTGCTGGTTTTAGAGGCAGATTCCTTGCAAAGGCAAAATGAAGTTATGGTTGTAAGGCAGATGTATGTGTAGCTGGTAGGTGGACAAACACAACTGCTGAATGTGGAGCTGCCCAAGAAATCTAGATTGGGGTTTGTTTGGCTAGATCGTTTGAGTTACTTTTAAAAATATTTGTAAGAAGAGCTGCCTTGTTAAGAGTTTCCTCTTGCGGCTGGTCATTTTATAGTCACACTTTGATTTCTGCCACAGAGAATTTGTAGTTTCTTTCTACAATTCCTTTGTAAGTGCTTCTAATAATTCAAAACCTTGGGACTCAGTTCTGCTTCCATTTTAAGTCAGTTGGGCTCCTAGCACATAGCTGTCAAGGAGCAGGATTGGCTCTTTGCTGTTGACTAATGCTGCTGTTTTGGGGACTGATTGTGAGAGGCTCCTCTGAGCTCCCGCAGGTCTTATTAAAATGAGAGAGAAGTACAGGCATGCGGAATCACCCAGGATTATGCCTCTTGTGCAGTGGGAGCATCAGGGATCATAGCTATCAGCTGCTAAGTCCACTGTACTGATGTCCCTTTCCTTTCCTCTGCCTCTGTGTTGATGTGAAGTTAAATGTCTGTCCTGTAATAGGTCACGTTAGTTTAGTGTTGATACAGTGACCTTGTTATGCACTGTGCTCCATGGCTACCCTGGAGCTGTGAATCATAGAATGTAAATATCAAATGTCAGTGTCTCTCTCTTCTCTCTCTCGGTCGCTCTCTTTGCAGGTGTTCAGAACGGACCTGATCACTGCCATGAAGTTACATGACTCCTACCAGCTGAACCCTGATGAGTACTACGTGCTGGCAGACCCCTGGAGGCAGGAGTGGGAAAAGGGAGTTCAGGTGCCAGTTAGCCCAGGGACCATCCCCGAACCTATAGCCAGGTATAGTTTGAAGAAATGTAAACAAATACACATAAATTCAGGCCAGCAGTCTTCCCTGTCAACGCAAGGGCTTCTTGAATCATATTTAGATTTCTGCTTAGAAATGGACTGAATTTTCTGAGGCATTGAACAAATCTATTTCCTCCTACTGAAGTCTGGGGAATTTGCAATTAGTCAAGGTCTTTAAAAATAAGCCCACTTTTATTTAGGTGTCTAAATGTGACATTGATGAAAATCTTGACCTTTTTTGACATCACTGTGACCATGCCTAAAAAATAGTTTCCACTATAAGCCTGACTTTGGCCACATCCAACATTATTAAAAAAAAATCTGTGTAATTATAATGCTTAGATTTGAGTCAGAGAAAAATGCTGTTTCTTTTTTTAAATTTTGGATTCAATCAGAGAAGCCAGATTTCAATTACACAGAAATTGCTGGTTGTTTCATTTGTTTATATGATATTTTTGAGCTTTCTTCTGTTTACTCATTGCTTAAAAATTAGTTTCTTGTACAACACTGCAACTGCATTGAGAGCCATCAAACCAGCAGAACCACCCTGTTATGCACATATCTAGCTATTGTAATTATTTAGTTTCACTACTTTTACCTAAGGTAACTTTATCTTCCCTACCCTCTTTGTATACACAGTTGTTGGGCCTTGTTTCATAGTTTCTAGGGTCGGAAGGGACCTGAGCAG